TCTATCTATCTATCTATCTATCTATCTATCTATCTATCTATCTATCTCTATCTCTTTGTGTGTCTGTCTGTATAAATCTATCTCTTTGTCTATCTCTATCATTTCTCTCTCTCTCTCTCCATCAGTAAGGGCTGAATTGCATTTTATGGGATACGGTTGAAGGAGGGTGAGCAGCGCCAGGGGAACATGGCTGGCATCGAAGGTGACTTTTTTTAAGGATTGGATGCAGAGCTGATGTCCTTCCTGGGGCCACCATCAGAAGCTGAGGACCTGTTCCCCATCCCCAGTTAATGGTTGTGTCAACTCATAAAATATTTCTAGGTTCCTTTAGAGTTGCCAACAGAAAGGGAGTGGGGAGCAGTGCGGCAGCTTGCAAATTGAAACTGCATTCCATAAATGTTTTTTTTCAAAGATAGTAACCAGGTGACTGAAGTATCTGCCGTGCAAAATTCTAACTGGAGAGCCTGATTGATGACTCTGGGCTATGGACTTGTCCCATTGGAGAATATGAATTACGATACACCCAGGGGGTGGAGGGGAAAACCAGGGTCAAGGGTGACAATGAATTACGTGTCTCAGAGTCGGCTGCACCCAGGCAGTGCCGGACATGTTCACTCCCAATAAATCCTTTGGAAGTTTTGGAAGTTTGGCTCGAGACTCCTGATTTAAATGGGGGTCACTGCCGGAATCCTGACAGGTTGCTGAATTTATACAATGCACCCCCTTCCAAAATTCTAATTTTGGAAAGACTTTAGACCTATTCTATTCTGCTGTATTCTGCTTCTATTCCATTCCATTCCATTCTATATTCTATATTCTATTCTATTCTAATTTCTATTCTATTCTATATTCTATTCTAATTTCTACTCTATTCTATTTTTCTTCATTCCACTATTCTATTTTCTATTCTATTTTCTATTCTTTCTATTCTATTTTTTCTGTTCTGTTCTGTTCTATTCTGTTCTAATTTCTATTCTTTCTATTCTATTCTATTCTATTCTTCTTCATTCCACTATTCTATTTTCTATTCTATTTCCTATTCTTTCTATTCTATTTTCTATTCTATTCTATTTTCTATTCTATTCTATTCTATTCTATTCTATTCTATTCTATTCTATTCTAATTTCTATTCTATATTCTATTCTATATTCTGTTCTATTCTATTTTCTATTCTCTATTTTCTATTCTATTCTATTATTTTCTATTCTATTATTGGGTCAGTGGGGGGAGCAGATAAAGGCAAAATAATCCCCCCCCCCGCTAGTTTAGAACTAACCTGGGCAGCCTCTTCAGCTGCCTTGGAGAAATTCCCTTCTCTTGTTTGCAAGCAGATCGAATTGGGAAATGTTATTAAATTCCTGATTTGCTTAGCGTCTCCTCCGCAGCAGCAGGTGGATGAAATATTTGGCCGGCGAAATTGGGTTGGGCGCGTGTGGAAAAGCCTCTTCTCCTGGGATGGTGAAGCGGGCTGAGGGAGCAGGAAGGGGAGGACAACTCCAACCCCCCCCCCATTAATGGTCTCTTTGCACCTGTCTGTCTGTCTGTCTGTCTGTCTGTCTGGGGTCCACCCATAGATTCGACGGGGAGCTTTCCCAGGCCCACGATGAGGCCCAGCGGGAGAAACTGGGACGGGAGAAACTGGGACGGGAGAAGGACATGCTGATCGCGGAGGTCTTCGGCCTTAAGCAGCAGCTGGAGGTGGGTGGTCCCGTTCCCCCCCCCCCCCTTTCCCCATTTGCACCCTGTGGTCTGGAGGTCTCCTTCGTTTCACGCAAAAGCCGTGGCACTCCGGCTTACACACTGCTTCACGGGGCTTTACAGCAATCTTGGAGTGGTTTGCAGAGTTGGGGGCCCCCCACCGAACAGGGTCCTCATTTTACCCACCTCGGAAGGATGGAAGGATGAGCCAACATTGAGGTGGTCATGATCGAACTGCTGGCAGTCGGCAGTCGGCAGAATTAGCCTGCGATGCTGCATTGTAACAATTGCGCCACTACAGCTTCCTTCCTTCCTTCCTTCCTTCCTTCCTTCCTTCCTTCCTTCCTTCCTTCCTTCCTCCTTCCTTCCTTCTCCTCATTTTCCTTCCTTCTTCTCTTGTTTCCTTCTTGTCTTCCTTCCTTCTTTCCCTTCTCATTTCCCTTCCTTATCCTCATTTCCCTTTCTTTCTTCTTTCCTTCTTGTCTTCTTTCCTTCTCGTCTTCCTTCCCTCCTTCTCATTTTCCTTCCTTCCTTCCTTCCTTCCTTCCTTCCTTCCTTCCTTCCTTCTTTCCTTCCTTATCCTTATTTCCTTTCCTT